GTTATAAATGTAAGTCTAATTTTTATTTTTGAAATAATATGTCTAAAAGACCTCATAATAATGATGATGATGATGACGATGATGATTATATGTCCGACAAAATTTTAGCTGCCGCTGCTCAAGCATCTGCTCCTCAATTGTTAAATCCTCGTCGTCGTTTACCACCTCCACCTCCATCAATTCCTACAGAAAAATCTCGTCATTTAATTGAAAAAGAACAACGTGAACAAGGTTTATCAACAGCAATAACAAGTGATAATAAAGGTTTTCAATTATTAAAAAAAATGGGTTATAAAGAAGGTTCAAAATTAGGTCCAAATCAATCAAAAGGTTTAATTGAACCAATTTCAATTAAAATTCATCCATCTCGATCAGGTCTTGGCGAAGAAAATGAAAAGAAAGAAAAAATTCGTATAAAAGAAGAAATTAAAAATAAATTTAATCGACAAATTCAATCAACTTATCAGGATCATTTAAAACAAAAATATTATTTAAAACGTCTTCATATTGATATTGCTAAATGTCAATCAATATGTGAAAGATTTGATAGAGAAAAATTAAATCTCGAAGAAAATATTCTATGGAAAAAAAATAAACAAGATGAAGAAGATGACGATGAAGAAGAACAATCTGGTAATGATGATCAATCTAATATGGAAAATCAATTAAAAACATTAACTAATTATTTAAGAGATACACATTTATATTGTATTTGGTGTGGACAAACATTTGAAACATTAGATGAATTACAAAATATTTGTCCAGGAAATGAAAGAGATCTACATTAAATTCTATCTATGTTCAGATAGATATGTAATTAAATCAAGTACACTCTATTTTTATAATAGATCTTTGTATATCAATTGTGTTTTTGTTTCATTATCAAATAAAATCACGATGTATGCAATTCTTTCAATAAGAATATTTTACACTGTGTAACTTCGTTGCCAATAGACAATCGTATGACCAATGTGAAAGTAGAATTAGTGCCTAAGGTCCACAGAAACGGGCGTAAACGATACAGAAACCGGTGCTATTACGCTGCCGTTTTCCGTAATCTCATAAAATTATGAAAATAGTAAAAATAACTGGAACGACGGACTAGGATAAAACCTAATCATAGATCTATGAGAAATCAAATTTATCTCGTTTCAATTTTATACCTACGCATCTTTTAACGCTGTAAGCATATTTTAGTCCCTTTAGCGTGTTGGTGGTTGCGGGTGTGCGTATTCTCTTCGCTCCTATCTACCTATACCTACCTCAATGAGGTCTAGTTCTATTAGAGATAGATCTATTGTATGTAATATGATACTCTATAATATCAACATTTACTATTTTGAGCTATTTCTAATTATAAGCTATTTAAAATATTAGTCAATTGTTTCTAAACAAATGACATGAAGCTATATATCTACAAGCTTCTATTTTTTGATAATTGTACAACGGAAAAACGTCGTTACGTTAAATGAGCATCATCATATGAAAAATGACTTAGAGAAAACTTCTTATCAAGTCTAATTTTGATAATGATATTTTATTGAAATATAGATATGAATTTATAATGAATTTCATAGATGTCAATTCGCTAAGACGCAATATTTTGTTTAATATTTTGATGATATAATCAATTAAATATTCGGACAACATCTGAGAATTCCAGTTATATAAAAAGCGTTCCATGAGTATTAGTTCTATATGGTTCTTTTTTTGTATCTTTGCAATATCCGAGAGTAGAACAATCTTGATGATATATACTTGAGGAGCACCATCTAAAACTATCATTCAACAGAAATTGTACTCAATTTATCTTTAATTGTAAGAAAGTGTTGTATTTTCCCTGAAATTTCTAATCATGTGATGCATTAATTCATTGTTGCTTCTTTCGAAAACATGTTTGTTCACTAATGAGGGAAGTTCACCAACTGATAAACCGCTTTTGAGTCGAAACTATGTGCATTATGCAGACCCAAATGAGACGTAAATACCCTGAAAATAGCTTGTACCCTTAGCTTATTGTTGTGTAGTATCTGCGCAGCAATAAACTTAGAGCAGAAACTCTTTTCAGGTTTTTATAGCTTATTTGGATCTACAAAATGTACGTAGTTTCGATTCAAAATTGATTGGTCAGTTGTAGAACTTCCCGCGTTAGTCAGTTCTTTGTCATCTTTATTCAATACAAAGATAGAATAATATCGTATCCATAAATATCATTTAATAAATCTACGAAACGTATAATGTGTTTGTTTTTTTATTTCACTATACTGACTTTAGTATGAATGACCTACTAAGTTACATTTTTATTCTGATTCGAGATAGATAAAAGAGAACCAAAAATTACAACACAGAATTTGATTACATTTGTAATTTTTCTTATCATCACAGTTCTATATCACATTCTGGGCAAACATTTTTTTAACTAGACATATTTTATATTTCGTTATTAACATTAGGTTCAGTGCTAAGTTTTTCTTGTTTTTGTATCAACAATTCTTTGCAGAATCAAATTTATAGTATTTATTTTTTGAAAAAATGCTTCAGCTATTATGTATTAAAATTATTCTCTGCATGGTGAGGACTCTTATTCTACACAAAATCAAAGTAAAATACGAAATATTTTATGAATACAAGGAGTAAAAAATTGAATTGAAATATGGATTAGGCAGTATAATGATTAAGTATATAAGATAATCCCTATTATCATTATTTACAATTCAGAAATATCATATTTGTTATCTTCAATGGTGAATAAATATTAGTCTTTTGTCTAAATATTAATAGCAAATTTTGTAATCGAAATTGTTGATTTTAAAATTATTTTTCTGTCGAAGTAAAAGATATTTCATATAGTTCTATGTAGTTATTGTCAATTTATAACTTTAATAAGATATTTTCTCATGAATATCTCTCACTGATCAAGTATGACATCTAGACTATGTTAGATCTGATACATAGAAACAAGCATTCCATGGATAGTTATTGGTAATTCCATTCTCCTCTTCTTCTTTTTGCAAGGTTAGAATGAGTCATGAGTTGATCATTCCATAAAGGTGTTCATGTAAACAAAAATATACTCCATTATATTTTTCATTAATATTGATTTTATTATACTAGAAGACTTACAAGAAATGTGTATGTTTTTATTTACATTTATTTTTATCAATAAAACAATCAATTTTCAATTTGAAAAAAATAATAATGATTCGTCGTATTATCTACGATGTTGAATTTCGTGTATTAGTAAAAGAAAAATTAAGTCCATGTGATAGTGTTCTTGTAACCGGTTCATGTGAACAATTAGGTGAATGGATACCAAATCGTTGTATACCATTAAATCGTATTGATCGAACAGAAGACGGTGAAATATGGTCAACAAATATTAAAATCAATGGACAAGGAAAAATTTTTTATCGATATGTTATTGCACAAATTGTTCGAATTGATGATGATATGAATTTAATTATTAAAGAATGTATATTTTATTTTACTTTCTCTTACAAAATAAAAATAATTTTTTTTTCTTTTTTTTTGCTGCATAGGGGAAACATTTAAAGAAGCACGACAATTATTATTCAATGCAATTGATACGAATGATCATATTAATAATGAACACTCAGAAGAATTTCCAGCCATATTTGGTTATCATAAAAATATATGTCGCACTGATGTTGGTTGGTTAACAGGTCAGTCAGAAATACAATTACGTTTTCATTCAAATTCTCTACAAATATGGTCAACAAAATTACGTAATAAAACATTATCAATAAAAGTTTCTCCAATAGATTTAACATATCAACAAGAAAATGAAGAAATAACATCAGATTCATTAAATCAAATTTATACACCAACTTCAAAAGTATTTATTCAATCAGCTATATTACGTTTATCAAGTTGTGAAACAAATATTCAAAGTGATTATGGTGCAATATTGGAGAAAGATGATTATTTCATTGTTAAAATTCAAACATTTGAACCTGAAAATGTTGCTTATCATATTGATTTTTATCTAGTTGATGAATCAATACCATTAAGAGATCATATAGGATTTGCTTATGTTTTACCAATACATTCTAGCCTTGAATTAAACGATAATAAGCATCTCAATCGAATTGTACCAATTATTGGACTCAAACATAATCCGTATGTATTATCTTTCATTATCATATTTATTTGTTTTTTTTTTGTTTCTAGAATAGGACAGATTAAAATAGATGTTTTATTAATTACACCATTAAAAAATATTCAACAAGAATTTCTTGTTACACAATCGAAATATTGGCGTGAAGGTCGAAGACCAGTGAATGTTGGTCATAGAGGTTTGGGTAAGAAAAAATTAACAATGTAATAAGATTGCATTATTTTATATTGTTCTTTGTTATAAACAATAGAGATTACCTATACGCATCGAATACATTCTTATGATTAGTTCATTCAATCTAATCACGTAGGCAGAAGTGTTCCTAAGTCACCAAGATTAGGTGAGCCTTGTTGCAGAGATTGGTGAGCAAGAAAATCGTTCAGTTTCGCTGAGAAAAAAACAAAAGTTTTCCAAGATTGGGCAGAGAGTTACCCTCAGCTCGGAACACCTATATATGTAGGAAAGAGTAACTAGAGCCACAATGGAGCAGGCTTTGAAATCAGGCCACTTTTTGATGACTTGGCCCAACTAAGAATGACACTATTAAAAGTTTATTACTTTTACATGATGACACTGCAATCACTTATTAGATGCAGTTGATTGCGCAATCAGCCTTGTGTGTGGATGAAGAATGTCATTGACTTGAATAAATGCTCTATTTTTACTATTTTTGGCTAAATGAAATTTCCACAACGTTCCCATAATAAAGATTGTTGATTGCTATCAGTTGCGATGTGCAAAACCCATGTAAAGAACTTCGACAAAAACTCAGAATAAAATCGATTAAAATGGCGCTATTTAATTTTGATTGAAATCTGATTTTGCAACTTTAAAGATAGATTCGAATTGATTTTTTTTTTTTTTTAAATTGATTAAGAAAGATAAAACTTTTAACTTGCACGAAACATGAGTGGAGATATTATCTCATACGCGAATCTGATTGAACAATTGATAAGATCTCGATATTTCAAAATATTTATACTTTTTCAAACTGCTATTTATATAAAAGCATAGAAATGAAAACCGGTTCGATCACGATTGAATAATTTATTGTACCTAAGAACTAATCATATAAGTGGAAAGAGATGATGTTTTACTAAAAGAATTCGTTTTTAATGAAAACTCATCTACACATGATGATGAACTATATGACAAAGTAGATGAATACATGAAGAAAAAAACGAGTTATCAAAAAGATGAACATGTAAAGCATTCATATATGTGTTAATTGATTGAATTTTAGAAGTAGAAAGACATCGAATGAATCTTGAATCACTTGATTTACTTGCTTTTTTTATTGTTGCTGTTTATGGAAGAAATTAAATAATATAATTTTTCATACAAAATAAAAGTTTCACAACTGTACTAAGACTATGAAAATATCTACTGGATATCGATGAGTTTCGATCCGAATCCAGTCGGGTATAAGATGGTTGGATCTAAAATTCAGTCTTAGTAGTCAATTCATATGTACAGTTAGCAACAAATTTTGACTTTTTTGTACTTCATTTCTTCATCATGATCTCTTACAGACGAATATTTTTGTCCCAAATCTACTCTATTAACATATTATTAATTGCAATAGTACAAATTCTGGGTCTAGAAAAATACTTTTAAGTACTCTTCGAATTCTGATGTTATATATTAAATTATAATTAATTTCCAAAAACAAAATTATTATTTCAGGTAAAACAAATGCTGAACATATTCCATCGAAATATCAATCAACTGATTCAGTTCATCATCGTTCCAATGATCATTCAATGAATGTATCAAATAATCATTCTTCAACTTCATCTATACCATCAATAACACGACCAGTTCAAACAAAATTTGTTAGTGAAAATACTTTACCTTCATTTAAAGGTGCATTTCAACTTGGATTTGATTTTGTTCAATTTGATGTACAATTATCTAAAGATAAAATACCTGTTGTTTATCATGATTTTCAAGTTGCTATTACACTTAAACGTAAATTTCAACAAGCAGAATTATTTGTTGTACCAGTTAAAGATTTAACATTACCACAATTACAATCATTAAAAATTCATCAGGCTAGTAAAACAGATGTTAGTAAAATAGAAGATGAATTTGATGATGATGAACAAATTAATCAAGAAAAATTTCGTTCATTATTTCCAACACTACAAGAATTATTTGAACAACTTGATCCTCATCTTGGTTTTAATGTTGAAATAAAATATCCTATGGAATATCGACAAGGTGGTTGTGAACAAGATTATTTTTTTGAAAGAAATGAATATATCGATTGTATTCTTGGTTGTCTTATTACTTATGGTAAATCAAAAGAAAACTTTTGTTTCATTATTTTTTGTTATTCTTATTTATTTAAATAGCTGGTAAACGTGTTATTGTTTTATTAACATTTGATCCTGATTGTGCATCAATGCTTCGTCGTAAACAAACATTATTTCCTGTATTATTTTTAACACAAGGTGATAAAGGTGATTGGCCACAGTTTTCAGATGTACGAACATGGTCTATTAATATTAGTTTATGTTTTATCGTTGCAGAACATTTATCAGGTTTAGCTGCACCAGCATTAGATATTCTTTCGGATAAAGATTTTGTAAAACATGTAAAAACTAATGGCAAATTATTATTTATTTGGGGTGATGAAGCAAGTACGTGATTGTATTGTTTTGTATTTTAATAAAAGAGAAGATTTGATGAATTTTTAGGTAATAAAGATGTATCGAAATGTTTGATTGATTTAAAAGTTGATGGTCTCATTTTTGATCATGTAGCAGAACTTAAAGATGAACATTCAACAACAGAAAATCTTTTTATTGGTAAGATTTCAAGTATTGAATATCCATGAAACTTAACTAGATTAATTTGTAGTAAAGATTACTAAGAAAAAAAAATAGTCTAGGTATCTTCTAATATAGGTCTTATTAACTAATAGTATTTGCTTATGAGTAGATGAAAAACGACGAATAAGTGTTAATGAATGTCAGTAAATTCTTGAAAGAATTTTTTGTTTTTTCTACTTCAGCTGAAGAACGTGAAGAATTGGAAGTTCTTAATAATTTTCGTCAACAACAACTTGAATTAAAACATCGTCAATTATTACAAGAACTTGAAAGTTTACAATCAGCACGTGAAAGAAATGATTTATCAATATCAATTACAAATCAACCATCTGGATCAGTTGAGAGTGCTGATAGCGTATCAGAACATATTTCCATAGATTCTAATTTTAAAGATTTAATGTAATTGATTCATGGCTTTTTTCCTTTATTTTAATTCAACATAATTCGTTTTTCATTATCTTACAATAAAAGTCGAATATAATTTAAGGAAATAAATAATAAAACTTATCCTGTGGTTTAACTTTTTTTCAGATCAAATCTATGGTATTTCATATAATTAATGTTTTACTTGCCTTTTTAACTCGACCATATATTACTGCAGAAAAGTATTTTGTTCTTTCATTTCAATCATATTTACCGACACAATTTGATGAAAAATCATGGTATATTCTATTTGGTTTTATGACGTTTTGTGCATTAATTATTGCTTACATACTAAGTCGATGTATAACAATAAAAGATGCTGATGATGATCCTGTTTATCAACGAGCAAAATTTCATTCAATGCAAAGAAAACATGGAAAAATAAATTGAAATATGTGTTTACATTCTTATTATTTTTTGTAGTCATTTTTAATAAATTACTCATGGAATAAAAAGAAAAAAACGCAAAAAAAACTTTTGTATTTTATATCATTTCAATAAGAACTGCCCCGCAGAATAATGATAATTAAAATTAAAAAAAACAACGACATTTCTAATCGTTAAACGGACATATTCAGGTATATTTTTCAAAATTTTCATTCAGGGTGTGGGTGTGTGGATCGATATCTTTTATTCTTCTACACCCACATCCACACTGACATCTAATAAAAACACGTCACAATTCTGTTTTTACCAGTATAGAAGAATCTGACTCGAACAAGGCCATCGACAGCAGGTAGCTGTTCGCTGGGCCAATTGGGAAATGATGCATACCGCCTCGGTATTTCGATAAATGCGCTGCGGTGGGTACAATGCTATTTGAACAAAACGCTTTGGTATCCGCTACCGCTGATCACTGATTGTTAGCGAAATTTCGATTCACAATCACTAATGGCGTTATTTCGTGACGTCCTGGCATGCCGACTACGTAGAGACATTTGGATGATAGGGTTTCAAATGCTGAAGAGAGAATATATTTATTCTCTGTCAAATGAAAAACTTCAATATATACACTTTTATCACACAAAAGAAAAAGTACAAAGAAAGAACTAATAGGCGTCCGGATACTTTTTGGAGTAGGTGTAAATTGTTTGGTGTGGGTGTGGGTGTGAGTATGGGTGTGGGTGGATGTGGGGTATGGGTGTGCGTGTGGGTGGGTGTGGGGTATGGTATGGGTGTGGGTGCTGATGTTTTCTTCTTTACACCCACACCTCACCACCCTCGCTGTGCATCAAATGAAGAAACAACTTTAAGTAATGGAGTTAATTCTAACAAACATAGCCAAGTGAATGATTCACTTGTGAAAATGAAAGTTGATGTACAACCTTCATATCGGTGGAAGCCATGATAATACGTTCTAAAGCATAGTTGACAGAAAGAGCGTTTATACTATCTACTAAGATATTAGAATTGTGGTCATTTCGATTCAAAATAACAGTAATCCAACATATTCCACTATTGACCAATTGACATTTAGAGAATAATGGAACTGTATCACTTGTCACAGTATAGTTAAGTATGGAATCACCTTCACAGAAGTAACACTGTAATGATAAACCTAAAATAGGCGACTTGAACAACAAAACAAGCAGAACAACGGTGTACAACATGATTGTTTAGTCTTTATAGAAAAAAAATACAAAATTGAATGTATGATATCTTCACCTTTTATACATATATCTAAGATAGGCGCTACACAAAATGACAGAGAACATGCTCATTTGTCAACTTTTTTACAATATGGCTTGTGTATTAAAAACGTATCAATAAAAACATTGGAGAGTAATTTACAATTGATATACGATTTGATAGCGCTACAATAATCATGATGAAGTCTTTAGTTGAAACAGTTTATTGTCACCATTCTTTTTAGTTTTCACAATAAAAAGAACTCATCCAACAAAAAGTACGTTGAATAATAAATAATCGAAAAAAACAACGTATGATAAGATTCAATACAATGATATCTGAAATATTGGAAGAGAACCTCTTCTCCGCTGAATACTTCTATTAGATAAAAACAAAATATTAAATTTATATTCATGCAATAGAATACAAGGTCTACAGAAAAATTATAGCTATGTTCTTCGATGAATCTAAAATGTAGATTTTCTATATACTTACTTTAAAAACATGGACAGATACAATATTTAATTGATCTTAGCTAATCTTTCGAAAGAAAGATGACTCTCACTTTCGAACATATAAATAAGGCAAAGCAAAAGCATAATAAAAATTAGAAAGTCATGCATTACTCTTCAATATACTATATGATCAATCATATGACAGTATTAAGTAATACATGACATGTACAATTTTGATCCGGTCAATATGAACAGAGTGATATTATGGAAAAGTTCTTGCAAATTACACTTTTTATCGAAGAGAAAAAACGTTAAATATGTTGAACTGTTTGTGTTGGGTTTTTAGTAATGTGACAAAAAAAGTCGCCAAACATAGTATGTATATTAGGACATGAAAAATAAACACAGAAGAAGGGTGTGGGTGTGGGTGTAGATAAATGGGAAGTCAACATCCATACCCTCGGTCTTTTTTTATATTAAAACGTAAGACAAATACTTATTATCAATATTTGCTATAGTCAATTTGATATAATTAAAAGATGAAACAAGCGAAGGTCATGAGTTGTTTTCTTCTCGTACAAAGAACGTCTTTATTAAATGTTGAGCGATATAAAATCTAAAATATATTCTATCTTTTAATTCTATTATTGTTAATGCAGGAAGAAATTTCCCAACCACTGCATTAGAATTGTCCTAGTCACCATCTTGGAATTTCTCCACCGTGTTATCGTAGGTCGTATTGAGAATTTTTCCAGTGTATTCTTATATATATTCGTGTTCGTTCTATTCAATGTCGTCAGATATTGCTTTCATTATCTCGTTCGCTAATCGTTCTTCTTGTCATCATAACCAAGATATCACTAATAAACTGAGCTCACACATACACACAAAAATCTACAATTATATTAAAGATAGAGCATTTATTCAATGAGGATAGAATCTATTGATCCTTCTAAAAAAAAATTATACGGATATATAATGATCTCAAATATAAATTGAACATTATTTAAATCTTTTATATAACATTTCACTTGATAAAACATCATCAAATATTAAATCTAATCTTTGATATCATTCAGAAATTGGATTAGATAAAATGATTTTTCAATAGAATATTTTACATATTCTTAAGTTTTATTTGCAATTGATCTGTCTTGAAGATGATGAAAATACAAAAATCTTTCCTTCATTGATTTATTTTTAACTAATTCAAACAAAAGTAAAGTTACAAGAAAAGAAAATAGAGATAAAACTCTTTCGAATGTACTATTCTCTTCAAGAATTATTTGTTTAACTCGAATACAATTAAGTGACGTTGCATCTCGTGTAAACTTCTCTGTGACAATTTTCAATTTCTCGTGCCTTATTTCCAGTTCAGCTAGCTGAGATAAAGAAGTTTTTCTATGAAATAGAAATTGTTCAACATAATCAATATGCACATACATTATATTAAGTGATGTTACATGAGAATATTCGACAATTGAATAGAAATGATTTATGTCAGATCGGAATTCGATAAGATTCGATAATTGTGATAATCTATTCATAA